GTTTGGTCTGATTGACCTGTTCAGTAAACATTCCTGCTTGCTGACTGAGTAGAATTTGAACATTCCAGCTGAGAAGACACCAGGATGCTATGGCTGCTATTCGGGTCACATCTTTATCTGTATCCTGAAACCGAAAATGGTGATCGTACGCAAAGAGACTTTTTTTACATTATACTACGTAAAATTAAAAGAAAAATGGTTTTGTGAGATAAAATGTTATTTTCATAAATATTTACGTAATCTTTTTTTAATGGACGTAGGTATGTTTAAGTTAGGCTAACTCATGAAAATTAAAAAGTTCTTACCCAAATTAAAAATATCTGCTAAGTTAAAAAAGAACTTTAATTGCGCAAACGAATGCTAGAAATTACAAAAACGCAATTTTATAAAGCATTATTCACACTGACATTACTTACGTAAGACTTGGCGCAGTCTATGAACGCTTGCACGGTCACAAAAGTACCCACAATTATGTACGAGAGGCACATGAATAGCTGAAAATGAATATGAATTATTAAAAACAATTTAATATTTATAAATTCTTTAACAATCGTCACACATCTTTCTTATTTCCGATAGTAATGGTACTTACGGTAAATCTATAGCAATTTTCCAAGTACCGCAGTTTTTCGAAAAGCATCACGAAAGCCTTGACAAATTTTTCAGTACCCGCTCTTTCATGAAACTTAACCGATTGGTCTAATTTTTTATTCCAGAAAAGCGTATTGAAAGGAACCTGATTTGGGATATAATCTAAATTTATACGAGCGTGATTTAGCAGTGCGACGTTTAGGTAACGAACTCTTAGTATTAAATGGAGGTAGAGGGTCAGAAATAATGACAGATCGTAGTATATGCAGCAAAGCAACATGAAAGTTTCGAAAGCAAAGATTACTCCATCAATTTTTACAACGTAAGTGAAGTACATAGTTATATGTAATGCTGTTTGAAAAGCTCCATCTACTAAGCAAAAAATAAAGAAAACCACGGATGTAATGTCTCTCATAAATATTGTTTCCTTTGCTCCGAGAAAATCGTCCATTTCAATACACTTCTTGAAAAAAAGGCCTGATTCGTTACTGTTAAAAAAACAAATGTTTATCAACACACATGTATGGAATATATCGAAATTCACTATAATGATTGCCTCTGCAAGTAGCAATACGTGATCTCTCCAATATAATGCGTATACCATGTAAGCCATGCCTATGTTAATTATTACTACCACAAATAAGGTATAGAATATTGAAGCTCTTGATTTGTGCTCTATTTGACCATGTTTGATATGAAAGCGTGCTAGACCGAAGTATAACAAGGGCCGAAATATCGGACTATAGATTCTTTCCATATATTCTTGGTGCAGAGTTTGTTTTTCTGAATTATCCATTTCCATTATACGAGCTTCTGCTTGTGGGTTTTACGTCTGTTTTAAATGTAGTGTACACTGAAACTCCGTATTCACTTTGTTACACTATTTATTATTTCTATTGATATCAAACTGATATAAAATTCATAGATTTTACACAAGGGACTACATTATAGTTATTGGAAGTGATTCATTGTCACGATAAATAAGTATTTCCACAACATTTTAATATTTTAAGAAGTACCTGTACATACATGTATCCACAAGGGTAATAAAATAAAAAGACATTATTTTCGTTGTCCCTTATAATTCCACATACTAGTAGGAAAATCTTTGCCAGATTTAAAATCGTAGGCGCTATGAATTTTTACCTGTACAATAAACATTCCAATTTACAAGTTTAGTAAGCAAAATTTTAAATTTGTAATAGTTAATGTGTCGTAGTAAATTGCATAAATTGTATTTTTTTATGAAGAGAAGTAAACGAAGATGAAAAATTCGACGTAGAATAACATTCATTCATTCATTCATTTTATTTAAGAGCCATGCTCTTGTCGGTGTAGCCTCCTCCACTCCAATAATAGAATAACAACAGAATAATAATTACTTTATTGTCCTAAATACTTATATGTTATATACTCGACTCAGTAAAATATTAAATTATGATTTAGTGGAAAAAAAGGTAACGATTCAGAGAGCATGTCCAACAAAGACTGCTAATAACACCTCCGGGACATAATATGGCGAAATTGGAGAAAAAAACAATGTCGCATAAATGTATGAAAGTATATTGCCGTGTGTTAACACATCATATTTTCATTTCACGTGATGCACTTGCGAATAAGAAAAAGCATTTTATACTTTTTCAGAAAACTGACGATTGCCGATGCGGTCACGTGGAGGAGAAAATTTAGCCTCAACGAAATGTGTACGAAATGGAACAAATATTATTTCAGTACAGAGTACTAAAAAAACCCACCTCAAAAGTCATTCGTCCCATAGTTTGCCACCCTTGGAGGTGGAATATTTTCGTCAATTACGTGCGAGGTCACGTGGAGGAGAAAATTTAGCCTCAACGAAATGTGTACAAAATGGAAAAAATATTATCTCAGTACAGAGTACTAAAAAAACCCACCTCAAAAGTCATTCGTCCCATAGTTTGCCACCCTTGGAGGTGGAATATTTTCGTCAAATTTAAATGGGACCACTACTGAGGAAAAAAAAAGAATCATCAAAATCGTTTCACAAATCCGTATATATATATATAATATAACATACATACATACGAAAAAAAAACATACAGCCGAATTGAGAACCTCCTTCTTTTTTGTAGTCGCTTAAAAATAAAAAATAAACGGAAAGGTTCTCCCGTAATAAAAGGTATTCGCGTGCCGGAATCATCTGGGTCCAGCGAGTCATAAGTTAAAGTGCCAGCATCGATTGTGAATCAAGAACGGAATCCCAGCGTAAATCAAATAATCTCAGTGCAGAGTACTAAAAAAACCGACCTCAAAAGTACGTGGCATTACGTCTATTTGCTGTTTTATTGAAATATCCTTAAATTCGCCACTATACAGGACTTGACACAGGAGATAATTAAAAATCGGTTCTCACTGCTCAAAGAATTTTGAGAGAAAAACGCCTTGAATTGGAGAAATAGCAAAATCAACCATTAAAATAATGCTCCTTAAGAAAATTTAGGCGCTATTTATAAAAATGAATCTTCATGCGTGAACAGCACCCTTAGAGGTGGATGGTTTCCTTCAAAATGAAATGGGACCACTATGGGATTACCCCCTTTCCAACAAAAAAAGAATCATGAAAATCGGTTCACAAATACCGGAGTTATCGCGTAACATACATACTAAAAAAACATACAGTCGAATTGAGAACCTCCGCCTTTTTTGAAGTCGTTTAAAAGTATTAAATACACATTCATTCTTATTTTTGAAAGACCAAGTGACGGGTAGAACAAGTCGTGCGCCTGGTGGTAAGCGACACGCCTGTCCACAACAGTTGCAGTGCCACTCAGAGTTTTAAATTACAAAATCTAAGGAGTACTGCCAATGCGTCTGACACACCAAGACTTTGACAAGAAGTTGACAAGTTCCATGTGACTGTAATTTTACCAGCACCCTTACCCTTCAAGACCCGAACTCACGTTACTGCTTGGCGGCAATTATATATAAGGTGACAGTACTTCCTTGGACGATCGTTTTCACTAGGAGCTCTACTGCTAATAAAAAAACTCAAAACTATCTACATGAAAACTAGGAATAGCAAAGCACAGCACACACTAAATTTGGAAATACTTTAGTTAACAGGGGTGGTAAATGTAACAACCATCTAATTTTACGTTACCTTTGTATTAAAAAAATATTTTGTCATATTTACCTACCTCTATCTATAGGAATTAGGGGTATGGTAATAGGCGTGCCAGTGTAGCTGTTATGTTATCTGCTCAATGTAAAAAAATGTAGAATTTACCTATGAAAATCTTTAGTTAGCACATATTCGAAACTAGAGGGCCTGCGTACACTAAATCTTCTACCGCCTTTTATTTCTTTCTTTACTACCTTGAGTATTGACTAAAACTCTTTTAAAATTATCGATTGAATCTTTCTATCAAATTCTTAGGTTTTCACGATTGTTACATTTAAGAAATGATAGTATTTTTGGGATGGAAATCGCGTATATTTGGCCCGTGGTCACTGAGTCAGTGGACTCAGTTAACATATAAAGGGCCCGAAAATTGGTTTGTTTGAAAAACAAATAAACGTGATTTATATCCGAAAAAATAGTTTCATTTCCTTATGTTAATGTATTGCTGAAATACTAGATGGCGTTGTACATAAAAGCATATATAGAGTGTTAATTCTGGACTACCGTAGGTATTACAACATTACAGATATATGTGGAGCGGGAATGCTCGGGTTTGTAAATTTTGCAATTCTTAAAGCTTTAATATGAGTTCTGTATAAAAACAAAATGAAAAAAGTTGTAGAATTCTTGATTTGATGTGAGAGTTCTATTTCAAAGATACCACAAATTAAATGAATTTTAATTAATTAATATTACATTGTTATATAATGTTGTATTGCTCTGTTAGAGCGATTAAAAATCGATCAAAATTGTGCCTTAGCTGTTTCATCATTGTGACATATAATTTTTGAAGAAACTGTTAAGTTTTTTCAGCCATATAATTAAGAAAATATTATCAAACATCAAAGTGACTTATTGATATTGGCAGGATTCTATATTGTATAAAACACCCGAAGTTAAAAGTTAAAGTTATGCCCATAGTATATCACTTTGTGTGCTAAACCCACAACACAAGCAATCAAACACAGAGGAATGTTTTAATCGTGATATATTGCTTATCAATACAGAGTAACAAAGATTCTGTTTCTTAAATTATCAAACTACTGTTCGACATGAAATCAAAATGCTAGTAAATGCAAAAGACAAGTAAAACCGAGTCAATGCGCCGCCACTGCGCTATCACAAATGCAAAGGACCGGACCAACCAATGATAAGCCAATATAAAAGATCCAATATATCAAAACTTACACAATTGTTCACAATGCTATAACAATTATCGTTTTAAAATCTCATAAATGCTAATAAGGTACCTCTAAAGTTAAGTAGGTAATATTAATTTCTCAATTTCTCTAAGATTTCTTATAAAATTTAGATGTATTTACAATTTTTTACTTTATAAACAAGCTTCGCGGTAAAAGCGCAAAGTTATTGAGCATCCTATTGTCGCCTTCTAACTTTCATAACTCGGAAGCGCTTCAAGTACATCTCGATGTAGATTTAATATTAAAAATAACAATCGACACATTAAATAACTCAATTACACAATAGATAATACTCACACACACTCACAGCACAGACTAAACCGATCATCATTATTTTAAATAATATATAAATATTCGTAGAAATGCAATTCAACTTGGTACGACATGTTGTGCGCTCTATTGGGCATCACCATGAATTCAAAAATTTTGTTTTCAAATAATAAGTACAAACAAAGAACAAACATAACATTATTATACACAGAACTTGTGACATAATTTGTGTTAATATTTTGAGAGATAATTAGAAGCTAGTATCACTAAACGAGGATAGAGATTCCTTATTGAGAAGTTGTATCAAAGATCTAAACGCTTTGATTTTTTTATGGGTCGGACAAGTGATGTCATCCGATCCATATCTGCTTCATTTCAAGTCAGCAATCTCCAATCTTTTAGCACCAACCGATAATCTCTTTTAAACAAACTATGGCTGGCTTGAAATGAAACTTACAAAGTTTTCTAAATGACAAATTCTATGAATTACTCTAATATTTTAGTCTATGTTACATAATGTACGCTTACTTTCTAACCCCGTACCATCACCAAAGATTGCACATAATACCCGATACTTTGATTTTTTAATTGCAGTCATGCCTATCGCCTAGACCAAAAATGTATCATTGACTGTTATTAAAAATTAAGGTATTTTTTTAGAACAAAATGATTGTTAGAAAGTGTAATGTAAACCATAGGCAATTTTGAAATGTCGGAATGTCTATTTATATTTTGGAAGACATTTAATTTTAACGAGTCTCACATTAAACTTATAAGCACTGGTTTTATTTTTTCTATTAAATATTTTAGTATACAACGGACGGAATAAATTCGTAATGTTAAGTACGTTTTCCATCATAATTGGAATGGGAATTGCCGAATCAGTCATTAAGAATTTATTAGAAGTGGCCAATTAGTTGTGGACCGGCATTGGAAGCTGTCCTAAAAGCTGATTAGCAAATGTAGCGTTTGTGAACTTAAAATGCCGTTTATCGTAGAACTTCAGTAGCGCCGGGGAATAAGGGTGTTGTTTTTTCAAGTGCATGTAGTGTTCCTCAGGTTCTGAAGTGGTATGCCCACACTCTTCACATACGTACATCTGCAAAAGAATAAGAAAAACCTATGAGTACTTGTCTTTTTAAACCCGATGCAATGCAGGGGGATTTATAACTTTGAAACCTTTGTCTGTATATCTATCGGTATGTCTATTTGTGGCATAGAAGTTCCCAAATGGATGGATATTTTCTTAAAAGTTTATAGGCAAGTTTAATCGGGATGGTTCTTAGCTATGTCATGAACATCTGCTAGATTATCAGCTCTTTTCCCAGTTTCTAAGATCCCTACACAAATAGTATAATGAAAATTATACATAATATTTATTATACATAATTACCGATTAACATATACAACTAATGTTCTCATACCTTAGTCCTCCGTTCTTTGTAGGCATAAGTGTGCTGCACTCCGTGAACTTTAAGGCAGTGAGATTCTAGTGAGCATCTTTGGGTGAAGGATTTTTCACAGAGATTGCACTTGTAAGGTCGGACACCCGTGTGCGTTCTTGTGTGTCTTTTAAGGTCGAAGGTGTCGTTGAAACCTTTGCCGCAGAAAGTGCAAAGATATCTCTTCACATCGGAGTGGCACTTCATATGCCGATTAAGCAGTCTTTGTAGGCTGAAGTTTTTCGAGCACACTCGACATACGAATTTTGTAGGATCGTCTTCACTAACTAATACATGTTTGTTCTTTTCTTCTTCTCTTTGTCTTGCATTTGCTTCTGTAGCCAATGGGTTCTTCACTCCGTGGCCACCATTGATGAATTCAAGCGGCAGTTCAGCGGGTAGACCCAACTATAACAAATTATTATCATTCACTTATTATTATCATTTGCTTTCTTAAGGACAGCTGTGATAGGAATGTAGCTTAATTCATTATTGAATTATAAGGCTGAGCTTAATCAATCCAAGCTGTCCTTTATAATTAAACAAGAATTTATAAAAATAAAGTTGTGCAGTAAGTTAAAGCATAGTTGATTCAGGCTCAGCATTACACTGTAATACTTCATTATTAAACTTTTATGTCGTCTTTCGGAAATCTTTCTTTCTACCACGAGGTAGACGACATTCATTAAGAAAAACGAATCAAAGCTTCGCCTTAAAATCAAATAATGCTTACCCTTTGCAAGATTTGAATTTTGCCATCGCCTAAGCCTTTCTTCAAACTTACAGCAGCAGCTGGGCTCAGCGCGGAGTTCTCCATGTGGGTACTGCCATCCAAGGAATTATTTCCGCCGGGCGAAGGCAACGACACGCCGGTAGGCGAGTCCAGGTCCAGAGAATGACTAGCGAATGGAAAGCCAGGAGATAGAATTTGTTGCCTCTGTTGAAGTTGTACATGGATCTGCAGTTGTTGCATTTGTCCTTCGTTGTGTTGTAGAAGAGCTGGGTTTAACTGCATCAGCAAATCTGGCCGATCTTTAGCGAAATTGTAAGAAGAAGGTTGATCTTGACTTGCAAAAGCTAAATAGTTGGCTTTTTCATAATACTGTCTACTTAAATTTACTTGTTCTGCCAGCGTTTCAATATCGACTTGGTTGTGCACGGAGTCAGGGCTTATCGACGTCGATGATTCTCTTAAGTCTGAGTCTGTTATTGATTCAACGTGGTGGTTCAATAAATTTGAGAAGTCTTCGGTTGAATCTGAAAGGTTTCCTAAGAGACCTTCGTTAGATCCGTTAAAAGTGAGGGTGGTAGAGAATTGTAAGTTATCTATTACGTCCTCAGGCATATCGACCACCATGGAATCATCGAAATTGCTGCTATAATTGCCAATAGAACCAAGGTTTTCTAATTTATTTTCATAATCAATCCCTTCGTCTTTTAAAGCGAGGCCATAAGGAGCGTTCTGCATCAGAGAATACTGTTTCGTTTGCTCAGGGAAACTGGTTCCATTTTCATTATTTTCACAATCCATATTAAATCCATTCATTATACTAAATTCGTTCGAAAAGTTGCTGTTGGCATTGAAAGAATTTTGCCCGCCCTTAGTGGAAGGACCGAGAGTTTCATAAAAAGGGGGTAGGCTGCCTGTTGGTGGGCTATTTGGTCCATAGTTGGATCTACCGTCGCGACCGTTGCCTCCGCTACCGGATCCACCACCGATGGCTCCACCGCCGCCAGAGGAAGGAGCGGTGCTACCACCACCCGAATTGAAACTTCCAGAGCCACCACTACTCTGAGAATTTCCACCTGAGCCGCTACCACCAGTCGATCGACCGTGTCCTGCAGCTGCAGTCATTATTCCCGGTATTTTGTTTGCGGGACAATTTCTTAAAACTAAAACTGGTCGGGCTAATATTCCATTGGCAATTTTAGAGCTGCTTGTTCGCCTTTGCTCTCTTATTTTCTTTTCAGTTTCTTCATCTTCTGATTCACCACGTTTCTTTGCTATAACGTAATCAATTGGTTGGTCTTGTTCTGGTTCTGTGGTAGGTAGCGTCTGGGGAATACTAATATCAGTAATTTCTTTTTTGTTGTCACGGAACTGTGATTGAGATGGTGTTCTCTGAATGACAGACACTTTCTGACAGGTTACGTTATTGTCAATACCTGGTGAAGGTGAAGATTCTGGAGACGGTGAATTTCTCGACGGCAACACGACTGGATCGTTTTCCAGTGGATCTTTTTCTTCTTTTATTAACGGTTTGTCATCTTTTTTCTTTTCTTCTGCGATTACGGGTAAATATAATTTTCGTTCCGCCTGTGTGGGAACGTGTCCTCTGTGACTACCATATGGAACATCGCCGCCAAGTATAGATGATATAAACCTCCTAGGTTCTTTTGTGCGTCTCTCGTGTAAATTTCTTCCACCACCGTTTTCTTCAAAGACATCCGAGTCTGGAATGAAAAAAAAAAATGATTAGTGTATCAGTTTGATTTTATCAATTATTTTTACATACATGTATTTTCTACAAACTACGAACGCGTGAAATAAAAGCAACAGAAATCCTCATAAACCAGTTACTAGCAGTAACTATTTACCCTCGGCTTATTACTAACGTATTCGTGTAGCGTCGAACGCATGAGACCTCGTTGACGTCACTGGTATGTGCCTCCATAACGGTAATATTCGCCTCCACATACACGCCCACAGCGTGTGTTGTATGTTTGTGTGTGAGTTATTTGTATCACATTATTATAATTGGCGGGACAGGACAAAGTGACAGACTCAATCTCGTCCCAAATCTAACAACAATTGATATCGCGGTTTTAGCAATTTTAACCATGCATACATTTCATTTCCTGCTGGTACAATTTTAGTAGAGCTTTGATATGCGGTTATAGAATTAAAAAATATATAGCATTATGTGGAAATTTAGACCTTGCTCTTGATTAGAAACGTGATCCTAAGAGGCTATATTTTTTAAAGTTACAATTAAATTAACTACTTCTCTTATTGATGAATTTAAATTTCGGATGTGAGCAAAAACTCTATTTGTTTTGTAACAAATGTGCGTAGGTAGTTAGTGAAAGTCCCAAGGTTGCTCGAACGAGTTCCCTTGCCCTTTCTCGTCTTTTGTTAGGGATCCAAGGACGATGGTTGCATTGTTGGGCTCTTTTTTGTATGAGGACCGTAATTTTATGCGTCTGCGCACCAAGGCGTCACGGCGCGGTCTCTAATTTGGAATCTCTCCATAGTGCACCATTTTGTTGTAAAGTTTCAAAGGCACCTTAAGCTTAATCACATATTGTTACATCTGGATGACTACGTTTGAGAGGCTTTTACAACCCATGTGTGTAAATATGGATAAAGGAAAAGACAAAATTACGAACAAATAAACACCAGAAATGAGGAATTGTAGACAGACAGAAACACTGTGATTACACGTTTCGACGACAAAGTTCAATTGCTCTTTAATTATGTACATAATTGTGTTCTCAATAGTAATGGTGTTAAAACAAAAAAAAGGATCGTTGAACTCGTGCGGAAATAAGATTGGAAATTATTTTTTTTTTCATATTGAGTTTTTGCATAAACGTATAATAGTTAATGAAACTATTTTTCCGGATTTAAATCGCGTATATTTGTTTTTTCACACAAACCGACGTTTCGGGCCCTTTAAATGTCCTTTAAAGGTTGACTGAGTCAATCGTGACCATGGAACCTGTAAAGGGCCCGAAACGTCGGTTTGTTTGAAAAATCAGATATACGCGATTTAAATCCTGGAAAATAGTTTCGTTTCCTATGTGTAACAATCGCGAAACCCTAAGAACTCGATACGTATATTAGTTATAAAATAAAGTGTTGACTTGTTTAACTGTTCTAGATTTTAAATTTTATTTGTAGGCTGTTGACCAATAGCCCTCATAGCGTTCGTGAGTACCTAACTTTGAAATTCGCGATTAGGTCTCATTAATAACATAGTCGTATTTTATATTTAAGGTGCAGGCAAATATTAGCAAGTACCATACTCCGTAATGGGTGCTTAAATGTTTATCAGATAGTTATTGCTCTGCCTTTGTTAAGTACTGATTTACATGGGCTCGGAACAAAAGCTTCCTCGAAAGATAACTATAGAGCGCCCTATTGTCTTTACTAAAGGTCAGTTGCGGCTTATGGGAGTTAAAGATATCAGATAAAAGAATATCATACTTCACACATGACTAATAAATTACTTTAGTCTACATTTAGTGGAGAATATAATAAGTTTATACATACGCGTCGGGCTACACGTCTGTATACCAATGCGTGTCAATTTTTTTTAGCAAATACTTAAGTTCATGCTTGTTAGTCAAAAAACGAACGATTGAAGCGAATGATTTTATATTGCAGTGTATGGAGTTGAGTATTATAATTTGTGAATCAAAAAGAAAATAATTATAAATAACATTATTGCGTGGATACAGTAAACTTTATGTAGTAGAGAATCTTGCGTATTTAGTGCGTCCGATTGGTGCCGGCCGGTATAAGATACAAAATGCAGATTATTGTTTTTTGCTTTAAAAAGAAAAACGTTCCGACTTTGAAATAACTCACGAATTTAGAATAAAATGTGCTACAGAAGGCAGGAATGCAGACGTTGAGACGGCGTTTGTAGCTTGATGCGTTGATAGAAAAGGACAAACTGAGATATTTTCAATATGTTAAGTCACTTAGTATGTCTCCAGATGGGGCGCAGTGACAGCCCCGCTAAGCCTGTTTGGCAAGTACGTTTTAGCGACAGTCGTGCAAGTTTATGAATCAAAATAAGTATTACTAAAAATTTGGTGCCACGCCCCAGTTCCAAAGACGTATTTATTATTATTACTTGGTACTCAATAACAACTAATTGTATTAAAAATAGAGGTAATTTATCATAGTACCATATGTCCTGCTATTTCATAAATCGTTTCGTGGATTGACTTACTAAATAATATTCATGAACATGAATTAATCGTAATCTATCATGGCAGTTACATTATACAATATTTATTCACAGTTTCGTCCATACAATTATATTTCGTACCTATATGAATTTAAAACCTTACTTAAATGGCAATTGAACGTCATGATGTGTGTTCGTGGTAAATCAATCAGCAAGCTATGTTATGCCCTCAAGTAAAAAATTACCTTGGTCTATAAAAAGAATATTCAAGAACCCAGATGGTACTTGATAATTTATGAAGTTCCTTGTATTTCTATTTTCTTGGAACATACTAATGAATTCATATTTTATTGCCGCTATAATGTAAAGGATAAAACATAAAATTAAAATTAGTGGTCGAATAAATTGTATCCAGATTGATCAGGTATCACCAGTTGTGTTATTTTGTTCTCATCATTTCTCGTTAGGTGTTACAAATATAAACTTCTTGAGGGTGACATTTGCAAGTCAGACTATCTCTTTTGCAACAGAAGAGTTCCTTGTGAAAGAGCACGTCCAGGAAAGTACTGCCACCTTACCCCTTTTTGCCGTCAAGCAGTGATGTGAGCATTACTGCATTCCGATTTTAAAGGGTTAAGGGTGTTGGTGAAATTACAAGTACATGAGACTTGTTAACTTAGTCGCAAAGGCGGTGCTCCTCAGATCTTTGCGATTTAAGCTCTGGGTGCCAGTGCAACTGCTATGCATAGGCGTATCGTTTACCACCAGGCATACGACTAATTCGTACCGGCGCTTGATTTTTTAAAAAATCTATGCTATTGATTGTTGTTTTGGTGGAACATGGTAAACCTGAAATAAGGAAATCCTCTCTTCGTGAAGCCTTACATTAGCATTATCTACATAGGGCGCACTATGAGTTTCCGGAACTGGCCACTTACATAAACAATATTTAAAAAGTAATTACAACATTTGAAAATGGAACTCTTTGGCTGTAGAAAACGGTTTGTTTCATCTGACTGTCACTTGTTTTTACATTGTGGCGTCATATTAGAAATTGGTTGTCTACATCACCATGGATTTAACTCGTGAAGATTTTCGTAGTACGATTTTCTACGACTTTAAGTGTAATGTAACAGCTCAGCGGAGCTTTTCTCGGCTTTAAACTGCTTTTGGCGATGAAGCACCATGTAAAATGACTATTTATAGCCGGTTTGCATAATTCAAAAGCGGTCGTGTAAATCTTATTGACGAATTTCGTGATGGTCGCTCGTCCACTGCTGTGAACAACAAAAACATCGATGCTGTGCGCCGTATGATCAAAACAGACAGGCATGTGACATACCATGAGATTCGGGCATTTTTAGGCATAGGCATGAGTTAATACAATCAATATTACATAAACATTTAGGTGCAAAAAAGCTGTGCTCTCGGTGGACCCCACACAATTTTACTGAGGCTCAAAAAATGGATCGCGTCACTTGGTGCAATGCCAGATTCAACGAAGGGGCGTCAAATTTGGTGTGGGTCATAGTAACAATCCCAAAACAAAGCAGCAATCGAGATATGGGTCTTTCAAGATGAGCCGAAACCAACCAAAGTTGCGCGCGTGCAAAGTGTCTCTAAGCGGATGATTGCTACTTTTTTTAATAAAACTGAACACGTGACCACTGTTGCTTTGGAGAATCGTTGTACCGTGAATAGTGATTGGTACACGACCATTTGTTTGCCGTAAGTTATTGACAAACTCTGTAAAAATAACCGTAAACGCCGTATCATCTTGAACCATGATAATGCCAGTTGTCACACGGCCAGACAGACAAATGAATTTTTGAAGGTGAAAACGTTGACCTTATGAGCCATCCCGCGTACAGTCCTGACCTGGCACCTTGTGACTTTTATTTATTTCCAAAAATTAAGAACCACTTATGCGGTCAACGATTTTCATCACCTGAAAAATATGTTTCAGAGATTGTTACGGAGGAGTGACATAAATGTTTTCAAAATTGGTTCATTCGTATGAAGAAGTGCATTAACGCTAACGGAGAATAATTTGAGAAACAATAAATTAATTTCTGATCATTTATGGTATTTTTTTCTTATTTATTCCAGAAACTTATAGTACGCCCCACCTATAATCCATATACAGATGAGAGCAATCGACACATACCATAATGAAATTATATTATGTTTGGTAAATTACATAATATTGCGCTTAGTACTTTTTATGTAAAACAGCGGAATTAGCCTTATTATCCTTACAATAATATTTATATGTATAACTTAGTTTTCTGACAACGTTAACATCTTGCGATAACTTTTAAATGTTGAATTTGAACAAAACCTGCTTACAAATTATACCTAATAGCGATTGCAATTAACAACTCGTAATTTCTGCACATTTACGTAGACAAGTCTCTTACAATGTTGGAACAAGTAGAAAAAAAACCATTCCATCAATTACAAGTAAATTTGTCACGTTGTTATTACATGTTATTATATAACACTATGTTTTGTTAAATAATAGAATTAGGT